AAAATAATAAAGACATTTCTTGATTTCTCTGGAAGCCTTTTGGACCAAATTTGTGGTCGTTGACGAGGGCCAATAGCCCGAAACATGTTCGTAGTTGCCTTTTCCCGAGTTCTCATGATAATGAGTTGGCTAAATATCACGGAACAAGGTAATATCAACGTTTCTCCCTCAATACACGGTGCTCTGTCACCTAAAAATCTCATATGAGTCATCAGGATATATATTTTTGTTTTTATATTGAGATACAATATATGATACTATATTTAAATGTATATTTAATATTTAATTAAAATGAAATATATTGAATCCAAAAATCATTTATTTCATCAATATTTCAGTTGGCTGAACGCCAACCTTTATCAAGGTGTTATAACATATTTAATGTGTGTCAACAACAAACTCAGCGCCACATAACCTGTTGTTGAGACACACATTAATATATTACACAATACCTTGATAAAGGTTGGCGTTCAGCCAACTGAAATATTAGTAAAATAAATGATATTTTGATCCAATATATGCCTTTTTAATTAACGATTTATTAATGGATTGCTCTAGTTTCAAAAATATATTTAATTTATAATGAAGAATATAGACAAGGGGGTCTTTTGAATAAAATTTGATAGATTTTCAATTGTTTACTCCAAGCTACAACTGTTTAGCCATTGACTATATAGCATAGCTCGAAGAACAGCATGGATCTGACTAACAACCTATTGTGACGGGATATTCCACTGAAGTGCCCAAGCTACGGCCGCTGATCTTCAGATCCAACGTGATGACTGGACAGAAGGAGAGCTCTGGCTGTTTCTTGATCAGCGGCAGTAAACCTCTGTCATTTGAATGGAAGAAGAACGGAATGCTGATCCACAAGGGAGTTAAGTCCGAGAAGGACTTCTCTGTGATCGTGATTGATCCTGTAGGACTGGAGTCCATGGGTAACTACTCCTGTACTGTCAGTAACAAGCATGGCTCGGATACCGTCTTCGCCCAGCTAGATGTCAAAGGTACTGAAGCACCACAGTTCCTCATTGGCTATCTCTCACACCGTGTGTGTCCAGCCCCTCCTCGATGGCTGAAGAAACCCAGCGATACCTCGGTGGCCAGAGGACAGGATGTTTCTCTCACTTGTGAGGCTGAAGGATTTCCTAAGCCTAACATCCTCTGGAAGAGATTACATGGTTCGTAGGTCTACTAGCCAATCATACTCAACCATTTCTTGATTATTCAGTTCTACTTGAAATAAGTGTTTATTGCATACATTTATTGCTTTGATTGTAAACATATTGATTAAAATACTTTATTTTTATCTAATATATTTGATGATTAAAATACTAAAAGTTTCTTTTTATTTTAAAATGTAAGCTTTCAAGCGATAATCGCTCTTCAACGGGCTTAATGAAAACAAAGACTATATATTAAAAGAAGTATTTACAATTATAAACGCGCAGCGTATTTTTGTAGTTTTAAACGTTTTCCCCTAATTTTATCTTTAATCATTAATATATATTTGATGATATCCAAAGAATTAGAAATAGCTATACTCTGTAACATTTTACAATTTCTGTTATTTAAAAACAAAGATTATTTTAAACAGTATTTCAATAATAAACTTTCGAAATATTACTATCAGCCCCTTTTTGTAGACTAATTAGCTCTTCCCTTCTTACCCGTCAAAGTCACAGTCCTCCATCAAACAAAGCTCTTCATTGATCTCCATCTTGGACTTGGTGTAAAGTTCTCTGTTCAACAAAATAATATTTTGTTGTTGTTGTTGTCGTGTCCAATAAAGAGCCTCGGATATCTCCATACATCTTTATCACAGCAGTAGCAATGTCCACTATCTTCGGTGTGTAAATCTGCTGCTCTGGGTCCGTGTCAATTTTCTGCAAGGCTGCGGCCATTTCTGGGCATGAGAATATGTAGGTAGGTGTTAGTTCCACACCAGGACAGTTGTTACATGTCCTATAGGTTCTTGTGCCATCTGGATGTATTGTTATTCCGTTGTAGTGTTTTTTTCTGTGTCTTCATCCTTATTCCTTTGTATCAATATTAAGTTGAAAATATCAGACTTCCAGAGATAGGTTTCTTTTAAAAATTTTAAATTCACAAATCCTTCTATCTTTCGGCCTTGAAATCTAGAGAGATTTGTGAATTGAAAATTTTTAAAGAAGCTTATCCCTGGAATCCTGATATTTTCATCTTAATAAAGTTTCCTGTTAATGGTGATTGGTAGCTCTATTATTGGTTTGTATCCAGTTGTTTCTAGATATTATTGGCTTTCTTAATCTCATCTAATTTGTTGCAATAGGCATTGTTTATGAGTTAAAAGGGTTCATTATAGGAATATGATCAAAACATTATAGTTGTTTATTCTATAAAACACTTTTATTTTTATAAAATATAAGTATATTTAGTATTGATAATACGATTATATGCCTAATTATGTTTTGTATGCATACTGCTCTTGGCAATAGGCTATATTATTTTTACACGTATATACCTATTCTATTGGAACTATTGGACTCTGAACGAGAAGAGTGTAAAGTGATAGAACCTGTTGTGGTGTCTGTGGACAGGAGATGAGGTGGACGATACAACGGTCCACACAGAGTCCAACTCTACTGTCACCAGATCTGTCCTGGAGTTGTCCCATGTCACCAGAGATGACGGAGGACAATACCTATGTATGGTGGACAATAGCATGGGGGTTGACACCAAGCTCAGCGTCTCCTTTCATCTCCATGTTACAGGTGGACACTTGTTGGCGACATTATTTTAATGAGATTTTTATCTCCTGGTGATCTCAAATGTGCTATCTACCTTTTAAAGAATATTTTTCATATATTTATATAGTTGTGTGTTGTGTCAAATTATATCCTATTTCAGTGATATAAATGATACGAAATTGTGCAAAATATTTTGTTAATGAAATAGATGAAAACATCCGAATAATAACTTATTTGAGATAAATATGCTTTTGAAAAATATTTTTAGACTTTATATAATTTTTTTAACACCTCGCACATATAATATTGATTCACGCTAAATATTTGTTTCAGATTAAACTATATGTATCTAAAAATGTCATATTTTGAGAAATTGAAACTGTTTAAGATTCCGTATGATTCTTATTTTTTAATTGAACAATTTTCTAATACCCTTAATGCAATGATAAATTGTTGGTTAGACCTGGCTTATCAGTGGTGAACCTTCTCAGCGGTTTCCCCAGTTTAATCTAGCATACTCTGTTACAAGAGAAGGAATCACCAGACATCATCTTGAAGAAGAAACAAAAGTTAACGGCGACGTGTTTCTTTTATTAATGCTGTAAATTCAGCAAGTTTTCGGACGTCCTTCGACAGACAACTTTCCAAGAAACTGAAAGATTATATATATATACAGGTAAATAATTACATAATTAGAACTTTTCTTAGTGAAATAAATGATTTTATTATACAAAATTATTTTCTCTTTATCTATGTAAACAAATTTGTTCTAAGAAAGGTGAGGGGACGGATTGGTTACTATTGTTGTTAAATGTGTGTAGGTATTGTGGAGGAAGGTCAATTTTCCTGTAATATTGCATTTTGCTGTCATTATTACAGCGGTATGGTAGTTTAAACTATCGAAAGTCAGGCCCTCCCATTATTTAATAATTGCAGTAAGGGCAGTAGAAAATTGTTCAATTTTAAATAAAGAATCATACGCGTCTAAAATAGTTTTAATTTCATATAACGGATGGCGTGCTAATTCATCAAACTTTATATTTGTCTTCAATATATTATAAATACAGTATATAATTTACTGAGTAAATTATGTTTGAAAATCGATTTTAATATGATAATTATAGGAGTGAAAAAATAGTATAAACGTGATATTGTACTGGGATAAGGTTCATAAATTAAGAAAAAGGCATCTCCTTATCGTGCAACTGAAAGTTGCTGATGGCTTGCGCCATCTATCGGAATAAATGTGGTTAGCTTTTCTTGATTAATCAAGAATGGGTATTTGACCAATTCTGGAATTATTAAAAATCAACGAGAATAGTTGATATTTATTCCGATAGATGGAGCAAGCCATCAGCACCTTTCAGTTGCATGATAAGGAGATGCCTTTTTCTTAATTATAGGAGTGTTATTCTATATTTTCAAACAAAGTGTTATCAGTTTCTTTGTTTATTTATTTTATATAAAATATTTTCTATAATATTTGTTTTAATTTATTATTAAGATTTGATATTTTTAATTCGAACGTTTTCTGCTAAAAAATTCTATGAAACAATTTTGTTCAATGAATAATTCAAATTTTGGTCACAGAGTGGCGCTATGGTGGCGCTTCTGATGTAAACCAATATGGCAGCCTACAATTGTTTTAGAATTGTTCTATCATTTTAATGTTGTCTATATACTAAATATACATATTGTATTGAATGTAATGAAGCAATATATGAATATGATAATATTTACTATGAATTTCAAGGTAGTGATTCTGATATTTCTCGTTGGATATACAAGACTGTCTTCAAGTCAAGGTAAGTATTCCTTTATTTTATCTTACAATCATGATTAGCATTATTTTTTTCATTCATATATGTTATTACAAACCATTAATATATATATTATAACAAATGCGTGTTCTGTTATATGAAAAATATGTTCTTTCTATTATAATAATAATAGCAGTATATATATTATTTGTAACTTTTAATATAGGAATATGCATGGTGTTATTGTAAATCTATTAGAATTCAAATCATACGTTTGTTAATTATTAAATTAATAGATAAAATGTATATCTCTCTTGTATATAGCGCTGCGCGTGTGTAGACATATATCTTTAACAAACTTATGCGTTATTGTTATGATAACTTTAACTGTCGAATTATATATAATCTTTATATACAGTTATCAGCGTCATAATCAATTCTTTCTTAATCAATTCTGTCACCGTTTGCTTTGTGAATGGAATAAATACCCAAATATGGCCATTTCTCATAACCATCGGTGATTAAGTGGTAGAATGCTCGCCTGCCACGCGGGCGGCCCGGGTTCGATTCCCGGCCGATGCATTTCTTTTTTTTACAATTTTTAAAACTCATTTATATTTTATGCAAGAATGACATCCACGGCGCCAATTTATAATTGTAACGATTAGTATTTGAATAAAAGCATTTAATCGGGTAAAACCCGGGCGTTGCCTGGGTCATTCGGCTAGTTACTTATATGTAGAGAAATATACTGATTAAAAATGGGAGATTCTATTTTTTATAGTTTTTAAACTTTTAAAACACACACACACTATTTGAACATTTATAATGATGTATTTTCTTTTTATGGTAAAGTGTTTAATAATAGGACACATACACACAATTGTGATTTAATAATTCAAGCAATGTTTAACACAAAATTAAATGACTTACCACAAGTTTATTTTTTATAAAGAGAGAGATAAAGGAACTGTGGCAAGTCATTTATTTATTTAATGTCAACATAGTACATCCCTCATTTACCAAAATTTCTAATTCAAGCTACATTTTCAACTAATTATACATTTTAACAAAGTGGAAAACTAAACACCTACTGTTTAGAAATAATATATTAATAACATTTTTTTTCAAATATTAATTATTTTAATAAATATATATCTATTTATATATATAAAATATATTCAGTTTCAAAAACACATTGATTGAAATTAAATATATACAAAATAATATCTTTCTATAAAAAATGGCATATAAACAATAGATTTTATATTTTATTAGCCTTGGCTAATAGTTGTATATAAATAATGATATGACAATATAACACGAAATCTATACATAAGAAATAGAACTATTGACCACGAATTATTATTATTTTTTTTTACAAATGAAACAGATTGTGTGTCGATTGTCCTTACTGTGATAGAGAATAGTGGGAGGACTTATCGATCATATTTCCTATTTATGGATGGCGAGTTATTGTCTTATAGTTGATTTATGCCTAACTGGTCTTGTCTTTTTTGTTTATGGAAGAGAATAGGTCGGAGCAAATGATTGAATTGGATCTACTGTCCTTAGAGCTCATATTTAGATAAAATAACATAGAAAGATTCCATCCTTTATTGTCTCACATATAATAAGGAGCGTACAAACAGTATTAGAGTTCTAAAAAGCGGTCTGGTGGATTAAATTGCCGAAACTGCTGGGAGAGTTAAATACTGATGAACCAAGTCCTCTCAATTATTTTACATCCCAGTAAGGACAGTAGAAAGTCTGTTTCATTTATAAATAAGAAAATTCGCGCTTGATAGTTATATTTCTATGAAAATATATGAAACTTTCTTCGAAAGATAAGAAACAGGGATAAAAAAATTTGAAATTTACAAAATAAAAAAACATAAGAATAATGTTTTAGAGTGAATATATATTGACCTTATAATAAAAAATATATATTTATCTTATTAAATTTAATATTTCAATTAATAATTGATATAATATATTAGTTTATATTAATTTATTCGCAAAACCATATGAAAATACATTATTTAGCTATTTAATAGTATTTATAATTAGGCCTCTAAAATGTATTTATGTTCCTTAATGTGTGTATATTTAGTAGAAATATAATTATGAATACTTATAAATTCTGTAATTTTTTATAAAGTATATAATTATATTATAGAGTGTTTTTAACCTCGAGATATGTGTTGGTGTTTAGAGATTCCAGCCATTCGGCCATTTACCTTTCGTAGCAACATACCTACAGGACAGAAGGAAAGCATCACCTGCTTTGTTATCAGTGGAAGAAAGCCGCTTAAATTTGAGTGGAAGAAAAATGGAAATCCGATTGCAAAAGACCATCAGAATATTCATATCAAATCTGAAAAGGAATTCTCAATGATTGTTATTGATCCTGTAGGACTGGAGTCTATGGGCAACTACTCCTGTACTGTCATCAACAAACACGGTACTGACGTGGTTACTGCTCAGTTGACAGTCAAAGGTAATGTATGTGAATCAGCAAATGTTACCTTTATTTATTGAATATTTGCTCAGCTTCTCCAAGGTGGATTCAGAAACCAACAGACACTTCTGTTGCTCGAGGAGAGAATGTAACACTTGTCTGTTCGGCTGATGGATTTCCACCGCCGCGTCTTCTGTGGAAGAGAATTCAAGGTATGATTCTGGAATGCTATTCAAATGATATGTTGTCTTGTTTTTATAACGAACGAATCAATATTGCTACAGTATTCCGAATACACCCAATAATTATATTTATAAATGACTGCGGCGTATAATTATAAAGCCATACAACCAGTTTAACCGCATAAGTTTCTTTTTATTTAAGAAAAATCATTTTTTTAATTTCAAAGAGAAATAATTTAATATTTCTAACTTTTTGGATGACGTATGAAAAGGTTGAATATATGAAGAGTGATGGTCTATATATGAATGGATGACGTATGGAGGGTGAAAAATATGAAGAGTAATGGCGAACGGAAAAATAAAAGTGTCCAGGAGCGGGAATCGAACCCACAACCTTCTGCTTACCGGGCAGGTGCCATGTCCACTAGGCTATCCTGGACGTATCTTTCCGTTCGTAACTTATATTTAAACTGACTAATAATACTTATAAATGACTGCGGCGTATAATTATAAAGCTATACAACCAGTTTATTATTTTTCCGTTCGCCATTACTCTTCATATTTTTCACCCTCCATACGTCATCCATTCATATATAGACCATCACTCTTCATATATTCAACCTTTTCATACGTCATCCAAAAAGTTAGAAATATTAAATTATTTCTCTTTGAAATTAAAAAAAAAATGATTTTTCATAAATAAAAAGAAACTTATGCGGTTAAACTGGTTGTATATCTTAATAATTATATTACTCTATTCATTAAGATATAGTAATAAGTGCTCTATAAGACTCGAAAATATGAATTTTTTCATAATATGCTCAGCTAAATGTTTCTCAATCAATATAATTTATTAATAAAATTGAGAGAAACCTACGCTGAAGTTTACATGAGAAAGGACCGTAGCATTGATAGACTTTGCACCTCTTGAAGAAATGCTTGAAACCTTGTGAATTAAGGTTGTCTCATTAGTGTAAAACTTCCTCTGAAACTACTCAAATAAATATAGAGATATGATTATATTCTTCGCAAATATATATGCCGTAATAATAAAACGAAATTTATATATATATATATATATATATATATATTTAAAGTTGAGAGTTTCTGCTTGATATTTTGGATCATGTTGAGGATTATTGTAATGGCGGTACAGTCGTGGTTGAATAATAATCTTGATAAAAAATATAAAGTCTTGATCAGAGATTGTTTTTATTGTGCTATAGGATAAACACAACTTGGTAAAATTACTGCCTGGCTTAAGGCGTAAGAATTAATAAAACAAAATATTATTTACATAATTACAAAGTTTTGGGCCGACCAACGGGGAAGAGCAACAACGAGTTTTTATATGCAAAGTGTGACCTCTGGCGGTCGATTTAACAGAATATTTTAATCTATGAAATATATTTTTAAATAAAACAATATCTTAACCTTTTATATAATATCTTAATATGACATTTTAAATAATACTTTTATATAATATATATAAATTCTTTATGATATTAGTAACAGATTTATAAAATATATTACTTAAATTCCAAGTAGGTTTGAGATTGTGACCTGAAGATTTCGATTTATTCTTTCTTCGAGGTGCTTAACAATAGATAAAAAATCTTCTCAACTCTCAACAGTTTCAAAGTTAAAATAATGCATCATCCATATACAGAGCATTTATATTCATCATTTAATTTTCTTTTATAGTATTATCTTTCTCTTTTATTAAGAGATTAATATATATACTCTTATTTATACTCTCAATATAGATAACTATTACACTTTTGGGGCGATTGATATTCTTATTCTCTAATATATGTCATTTATCTCTTCACAAATTTGAATTTTTAAATTTATTCTGTTTTAAAAAGGTGATTCAATATTTACATAAAATATCACCTTACTACATCCCATTTCATTAAAACTGAAAATTTTATTTAGAATATTCTTTAATTTCATAGCAATATGAATTTTCTCGAATATAGTTATAAATCGTTCTGAAAATAGAGCAATTCATACTTAAATCATTAGATAGTAAAAAGGCATATATTGGATTGAATAAAAGATTTATTTGCCATATTTTGGCAGGCTGAACGCCAACCTTTATAAAGACAATACATTTTTGTATAAACAAACTCAGCGTCATATAGTTATAATTATAACATTTTGCGGCGCTGAGTTTGTGTATACAAAAATGTAACGCCTCGATAAAGGTTGGCCTTCAGCCAACCGAAATATTGGCAAATAAATCTTTTATCCAATCCAATATATGCTTTTTTACTATCTAATAGTTATAAATAAATTAAAATGTTCATTAATTTTTATTCCAATGTATATAAATGTATGATTAACTTTATGTTATACTTTATTTGAATATGTGATTAAGCCACAAATAATAGAAATATTCGTCTGAAAGTAAACTATGATGTGGCCAGGCTTAGAGATCAGCAACGAAGATGTCCATTCCAACACCACCCACACCAGATCTATCCTCCAATTCCACCATGTCACCAGAGAACATGGGGGACAGTACATATGTGGAGTGGACAATGGTGTACCTCCCCCACTTCAAGCTGTCTTCCATCTACATGTCACAGGTGTCTTCTGCTTTAACCGCCATTTTGAAAATGTTTATTTTCGAAAAAAAAAAAAAAAAACCTTTGTAAAATATAAATCAATTCCTTTTAAACCTTTTTAAAATTTGTACTATATATTTTATTGAGAAATCTGATTTAAAAATATATATTTAATATAATTTTATTAGAAACAAAATATTGAAATTGCTTAACAATAATTATTAGTTGGGAAGTTAATAATTATTGTTAAATTTTAAACGAAAATATTATTAATTAACAAATATATTTTATTAAAATATTTTAATAATAAATTATATTAATATTAAAGAGAAATATTAACTTATAAATGCCCAAATATATTTATCT